GGAGATGGAGAGATACAAAGTAACATTGTGTATAAACATTGTTTAGAGGGAGATAGAGATACAAAGTAACATTTGTTCTAAACATTGATCAGAGAGGAGATAGAGAGATACAAAGTAACAGTGTGTATAAACATTGTTTAGAGGGAGATAGAGAAACAAAGTAACATTTGTTCTAAACATTGATCAGAGAGGAGATAGAGAGATACAAAGTAACAGTGTGTATAAACATTGTTTAGAGGGAGATAGAGAAACAAAGTAACATTTGTTCTAAACATTGATCAGAGAGGAGATAGAGAGATACAAAGTAACAGTGTGTATAAACATTGTTTAGAGGGAGATAGAGAAACAAAGTAACATTTGTTCTAAACATTGATCAGAGAGGAGATAGAGAGATACAAAGTAACAGTGTGTATAAACATTGTTTAGAGGGAGATAGAGAAACAAAGTAACATTTGTTCTAAACATTGATCAGAGAGGAGATAGAGAGATACAAAGTAACAGTGTGTATAAACATTGTTTAGAGGGAGATAGAGAAACAAAGTAACATTTGTTCTAAACATTGATCAGAGAGGAGATAGAGAGATACAAAGTAACAGTGTGTATAAACATTGTTTAGAGGGAGATAGAGAAACAAAGTAACATTTGTTCTAAACATTGATCAGAGAGGAGATAGAGAGATACAAAGTAACAGTGTGTATAAACATTGTTTAGAGGGAGATAGAGAAACAAAGTAACATTTGTTCTAAACATTGATCAGAGAGGAGATAGAGAGATACAAAGTAACAGTGTGTATAAACATTGTTTAGAGGGAGATAGAGAAACAAAGTAACATTTGTTCTAAACATTGATCAGAGAGGAGATAGAGAGATACAAAGTAACAGTGTGTATAAACATTGTTTAGAGGGAGATAGAGAAACAAAGTAACATTTGTTCTAAACATTGATCAGAGAGGAGATAGAGAGATACAAAGTAACAGTGTGTATAAACATTGTTTAGAGGGAGATAGAGAAACAAAGTAACATTTGTTCTAAACATTGATCAGAGAGGAGATAGAGAGATACAAAGTAACAGTGTGTATAAACATTGTTTAGAGGGAGATAGAGAGATACAAAGTAACATTGATCAGAGGGAGAGATAGAGAGATACAAAGTAACATTGTTTATAAATATATTTGGGGTCCTTGCATTCGGGACAAATAGGAGAAAATATTTCAGCAAAGACATTTGGAATAGTATTCATTTTAGAAAATGTGTTACACATTATACAAAAGGTAAACTTCATTTTTTTTTTCTCACAATGTAAAAGCCATAAAAATAATGGGTGGCGGGCAACATAGTCATAGAGTTATTGTGAGGTAATCAATGCATACTGAAATGGCCACATTTGGCCTGGGCATACAAATGTTAATGACCCCGGTCATGAAAGGGTTGGTTAGTAAATAACGGAAAAAAAGTTTTTTTTGTAATATCTATAAGGAGTGTCGCTTTAACTTTCCTATAACCTAACCTCTGGTTTTTCCCCAGGTAGTGTCGGGGGAGTTCAGCGAGGACAGTGAGGTATACAACTTTACACTCCACACGGGGGATGAGCTGACTCTCATGGGACAAGCTGAGATCCTGTGCGCTAAGACGGTAAAGGAGAAGTCCCGTTTCAACACCATCTTGAAGAAACTGGGCAAGACCGGCACGCTGGGCAAGCAGGTGAAAGGTAAAATGCCCTGCTTGATATGCATGAACCATCGAACCAACGAGAGCTTGAGCCTTCCGTTCCAGTGCAAGGGCAGCTTCAGCACCCGGAGCCCGTTGGAGCTACAGATGCAGGAGGGTGAGCACACCATCCGAAGCATTATTGAGAAGGTTCGGCTGCCCGTCAACGTCATAGTGCCTACACGCCCTCCTCGCAACCCCTATGACCAGCACATTATCCGTGAAGGTCATCGATACAAGCTGGTCAGCATCATCTCCAAAACGGTGGTTCTTTGTTGTCTTCTACGTAAGGGGGAGGTCAACCCCTTCCATTTCTTGCTGCTCACAGACATGCCTCGTTTTTCACTCCCCGAGGGTCTCCTTTGTGGTGACCCCAGCTTTGACAAGCTAGTCAAGGACTGCGCACTTTCCTGCCAGGAACAGAAGTTCAACCCGGATGAGTATTCCAAGGCTGTGCGAGAGACCAAGACGGATTTTGCCGAGGAGTGTGCCAGCCCGCGTAAGATACGGGTTTGTTTGCAGGGATTCTCAGCCGGCTCAATCAACTACACCCGCGAGGAGCTGAGCCAGGGCCTACAGCGCTTATCCCTGTGTGTATACAGCGGGACAATCCCAGAGGACACCAGCCCCCAGGATTGTCAAGAGGCCCAACGCCAGGGACTGGGGTCTTCGTCTGACAACTCAGACTTGGATCGGGAGTACATGACACCAGATTGGTTGGAACATGATTTTAGGACTCAGGAACAGTTGGAGATACCCTACGAAGAACTCTGGACCAACCAGAATGTGGAGAATTACTCGGAGCCCAGCAGCAAGCCTGTCGGGCTGGAGAGTGGCAACAAGACCCAACAGGACCTTATCTCCTTTGTGACCTCTCCTTCTCCTTTTGAGGGCAAGTCTTGTTCTCCACCTCCACCAGCCTTAAGTATTGATGAAGTGAAGACAGAAGCCCCTCCGCCGGTGCCCCCCAAATCTGAAGCAGTAAGTACACAACCCTTGTCCATCCTAGTGTTATACTGGAGGCTCGGAATGTGGCTCAGAGATTGTTGCAAGGCTATCCACCTGATTTTGTTTCTACAAGTGTTGTAATAGCATCACACTGCCGATATTGACCACATTGTCTACCATACACAACATCATGTAAAGGGAGAGAGAGAAAAATGGAGGGAACCCTAGAGTATAATAAAAAGGACATTTAACTAGGGTTATTTAAAAAAAAATGGAGTGATGAATATGATTTTAATTGGTTAGCCGCCCAACAATTACTGCGCTGAGACCCAAGGCAGTCGAGAGAAGACCTAGAGCACATATCATGGATATCAGGGTCTATCAACATCCCCAATGCTCACATAGTGCTCCTATCACATGACACTTGTGTAGATGATCAGTCACCACTCTTCAGAAATATTTGCTAACGTTAGAACCTGAGGTCCATCGTTGCAGGTTCTGGATCGCCCTTCTGTCCTGATAGTGAATTGCCCGCCCCACGTATCATTTTGCTGGTCATAAATTGAGCAAATGTCATCAAAAAGCTGCAATGAGCCATTTGTAGATGCCGGGCTGGCAGGGAAGTACTTTCTCCCAATAGCAATGATAAGACAAAGGAAGTTAATGTCACGATCTGGGATCAGGCTCAGAGTCCAGTAGCTGAAACAGCCGACACGTTCGTGGTATAACAGGCCGGGTTCGGTACACAAGCAGATGGTAGTGGTGGAGGAGCCGGCAGAAGCGTAGTCAGCGAACAAGCCGAGGTCAGGAGCCAAAGGTATCCGGTATGAAGAGGAAGATGATGAGAGTAGTTGGTGAATCAGCAGCCAAAGGTCGGTACACGGGTAGCAGTATGAGAGGATTGTATCACAGAGGAAGCAGGAAGCAAGATAATGGTAGGAGCACAATAATCTGGCAAACAGGAAGTGCAGAGGCGTGGCTTAAATAGGGAAGTTCAAGGGAGGAGCAAGGAGATCAGAGTTCAGCAGAAATTAGGTTTACCTGAGGAGTACACAGGAGGTCAGGCAAAGAGCGACCCAAGGTTCTGAGGTGGCTCAGCAGGTAGAACCACCGCCAGCTACAGCAGGGGCCCCGGGTTCAGATCCGGTTCCTGACAGTTAAAAGTGTATCTAAAGCCCTAACCTTTATTTCTTAGTTTAGGATAGAGAAGGTGAAGGTGTAGAGCCAGTCAGGTGTCTGTTGCTGTCCGTGCCGGGGAGATTCACCTTCTCTATGTGTCCTGGTCACCAAGACAAAAAGTGTTGGAAAATCCAAAAATTGTGTTGCCACGGGAACAGGAATAGACAGAAGATCCTCCAATGGGGACATTAGTTCTGGAAACAATTGTCTAGGAAGGTATATCTCCTCACTTTATAGAGATTTCTTCTAACTTCCCGTTGTGTCTATAGGACAGGAAGTGAAGGAAAATCTCCCCAATGGGACAAAGTTTTTATTATTTCCTAATTTCTGTCCAAAACGTTATAAACCACATTGACTTTAGGTACGCTTTGGACCTGTACACATGATCTTCTTCTGCTTTATGTCACGCAGGTAAAGTACGAATGTCGCCTTCTGAATGCCCCACCAGTGCCCCCTCGTGAGGGCCGGCTCTTCTCCTCATCGTCCAGCCCTCCTGTCCCACCACGGTATCCGAAAGTCCAACTCCCCCAGACGCACTCACCCAGCCCCAGCCTCTCCTACTACTCATCGGGACTGCATGACATGTAAGTAACTCCTGTGCCGGGCCAAATCTAACGGCAATGCTTTCATAGCGTTGGGAGGACCAATCATGACCAAGCTGAGGAAAGCAAAATTACCGATTTCCCCATCTGACGAGTTTTGCTGAAGTTCAGCTTATCAGTGATATCATGGTCGGGGGACATACTAGCCAGTCCATGTACGAGTGTCAGGGTACCGTGCGCAGGTGTCCTCACACCGCATGCAGGCACCCACACGGGAGGACCAAATGCGTGACCACATCGTACAATGCCAATGAGCTTATATACCGTTTATTATACACACCAAAATCATATAAACACAAACAATTAATGACAGGTAAGTGAATACAAATACAAACACAGGGCAAGAGAAATCAGGGGAGCAAGGCAACACAAGGGGAGCCACGGGGCAAAGGTCAGGGTACTAGGGGGCACCAGGGTACAGGACTCAGGGTACAGGACTCAGGACACAGGACTCAGGGTACAGGACTCAGGACACAGGACTCAGGACACAGGACACAAGACACAAGACTCAGGATACAGGATACAGGACTCAGGATACAGGACTCAGGAAATGGCGACAATACTTAGCCAAAGTCCAGACTGCAGGAAGGGATTAAATACCCTCCCAGCTAGCACCAGGTGGTGAATAATCGCTGACAGCCGGGAGACACCCGCAGGTGAGCACTGGAGTTGCAGGTTACAGCACCACCCAGTGGTGGTCTGGTACCTGACAGCTCCTGGCTGCCTGGAAACACCTGCAGGTGAGCGCATGAACCGCAGAACCTGGTTCCAGCACCACCTGGAGGTGAGCGCAGGAACTGCGGGACCTGGTCCCGGCGCCACCTGGAGGTGCTATGGTCCCTGACAACAAGACAGAACCTAAAGCAACAATCATGTGATGGTGACACATTGAGTAATACAATGACTCCCCCCCCCCCCCGTGCTTCTTTATCCTGATACCTAATATGCACACATTGGAGGCTCACCTAGTAGGGAACAAGAATATGTTTGCCGACCTCCAAGCTTGCACCTCTTCCATAATATCAGTTTTGGTGACATTATTTCTACCCCAACAGGTTCCTTTTTACTATGCAGATCGCATGGGGCAGTATACTAAATCGTTCTCTAGCGGTCCCCTGTTACTTGGAGGCAGTCTTGGTCAGTCTCTTGTGGCAGCAGCCTCTAACAGTTCTTTGGAGCATGACAGACTCTTGCCCTGCGCAGCCAATCCTGATGGCCTTTTGGTTACAGGGCAGGATTTAGGCAGAATTGCATATACAGAGTCTGCAGATTGGATCTGTTGGTGGGTCACATGAAAGCCATCCACACAGCTCACACCTCTAACACAGAGTAGGGGCTGTGACAGCTTTGGCCTCACTAGTTAGGTTACACAAGCAGTGGGGAAGCCGGCTGCTGTGTAACCTAACAACCTGTCAAAAGCCGGATGCAGTGACGCCTGTAATTAACATCCAGCGCTCCGTCCATGACCGGTTACACATCGGGGGTGGGGGGGGGGGAGGAATTTCCGTGCTGTGTAACCTGATAGAAGCCGATCTGAATAGAGAAAAAACTGTCAGCTTCAGACTTGATGCTGACAGCTTTTTCCTCCATAATACTAGGTGAGGCTCCGCCCCCCCTGACCAAACGTCCCTGGCTGGATGGATCGCAATGTAACGGATCTGGTATGAATGGGCCCTAACACTGTATGGTGAAAGTGTATGGACACCGCGATGATGGTACAGTCAGCCTCGCCCTGGCCAGAGAATTTCCAACTCGCAGGACAACAATCCAAGGCTGGCAAACTAAGAGCGACTGTCCATACTGAACCATTTCCAAACACAAATAGCGGCCGCCATGTGTTTCAATGGAAACTCACAACGTCTAACAGTTCTGACCTTAAAGAAGGGTCTGCGACAGCCACTGCCACTCCGGACCTGGATGAGACAGATACATGGCAGTGCTCTTCCAAGTAGCAATCAGTTCATTAAAGGAGAACTATGAGGGGGAGGGGCTTTTCACTGATCCTCATAGTTCTAGCCGACCTGTGACAATGAGACTGTCACAGGTCGGCTCAGTAGATCGGGAGGTGAGCGAACACATACCGGCGTTCTCTCACTTCTCGATCCTGTCACGGCTCTCTGCCATGACAGGGGAGGGGCTGGATTCCCCTCTCCCCGCTCCGATCTGCCAGCGCTGACTGGCGGAACGGACGGGGGAGGGGGCGGGTACAGCTGGCTCTGCCTCTAGATAGGAGGAGCCAGCTGTCACTCACGCAGCTGGGCGGATTCAGACGTCTAAGTCGGGATCCGCTCCGGCTGCGGCGTCTCAGAATACCGCGAGCTGTAGCTCCCTATATACTGAGCTTAGGGTGACGGGAGGACGCTAGTCTGTGTCCTCCCGTTACCCTAAGGAGAACTATGGGGAAAAACACTCACCCCATAGTTCTCCTTTAAGTTCTTATTTTGCACATTAAAGAGAAGGTGAATGATTCTAAATGTTGCTTGTAATAAAAGGAAAAAAATGTCGAAACAAAATATTTACAGAAAAAGACGACAGACAGACAAGAACAGCATTAGTAAAATAAATGGGAATAAAAGCAAAAAGTGCATAGTAAGGTTTTCCTGGTCATTGGGTCCAATCTGATGGAACAGAGTCACTGGCCCTCAAAGATGGCTCAGCATTTGTGCATAGTTCAATGGTAAATGGAGAGCTCCTCAGCTGCAGATGCAGCCATCTTTTTAGGACCCTGTGGAAAGCATTTACAGCAGCGGTCTCAAAGTACCGGCCCGAATGGGCCGATTGGTTAGGGATCAATGAATCTCCCTGGACGCATCACGGGTGCATCCAGGGAGAGTGTTTTCTAACCGCATGTAATCATATCACGTACCATTACATGCGGTGTGCAGGTGTTCACATGCAGCTGCTGTCACCTGATCATTAACTTGAATGGGTGACAGCGGCCGCTTGTAAACACCAGATCAGGGATTCCTGCTGCTGGAAAACGCAAGTTCCTGACGCAGGAATCCCTTATTGCTCCTAAAGATATGAATCGGACCGTATTGTGTGTGTATTGGGGTCCGTATTACCAAACCGGATATAGTTACATTTTATTTTGAAATATGAAATTTGGCGAGCATGGGAGAAAATAAATTGTCGAGTGCCCCCCCCGAGTGAAATGAGTTTGAGACCCCCTGATTTACAGAGAGGACATGACCAATCACAGAGTCTGAGAGGGGGGTGGAGGGGTGTGGAAGTGTTTCATGGTAGTCAACAAACTAAGGGGTGTGAAGATGTTTGATATTATTCAACCAGACCCCCCCCCTTCAGATATAGTATTTCCCTGCGATCACATGCTGCAATCTGATAATCAATATTTTATAATCTGGCATAAAATGACCTTGAACAAGACATCACATGACATGTCCTTGATTTGTAACTCAATCCTCCTGTCCCATCGCACTCCTGACCGGACAAAAACCCAAATCCAACTGGGTGGGTGCGGTGGTGACAACGTGAAATGTAGATAGATGAAAGTAGTCACTCGCACTCCATGGATGTTAAAGTCAATGCTGTTTATTGACATCTCCTTAGCGACGTTTCGAGACCATGCGCCCCCGTCCTCCGGCAAACAGAGAGGAAACGTCGCTAAGGAGATGCGCGTTATCTCGGTCAATAAACAGCATTGACTTTAACATCCATGGAGTGCGAGTGACTACTTTCATCTATCTACATTTCACGTTGTCACCACCGCACCCACCCAGTTGGTCCTTGATTTGTGCCTTCCTAAGAAGAAGTAATGTGCCTCATTGGTGGTCCTGTGTACCTTACAAGACAGGGGTGTGTGGCTTGTACCTGATCGGTAGTTTCTCATACGTTTGAGTATATTCTTATTATGAATGCTGCGCTCCCACGTCAGGAAGTATGAATTATGTGTGAATTTTGGGATCTGTGTGTATGGAAAGGGCATCCCGCAGGTCATGGAGGACCAGACTCCAAGGTTTTATGGCGTGCCAGTTGACATTCTAGTAGTGTTTTGGCTTGCCAGACCCCACTAAGTGCTATTTTGATGCCCACTTAGAAGTTTCTCTGCTCCCCGGGACTAAGGGGAGATCGGTGATCCTGCTACCGTGTCCTTTTTAGGTTGATCTGTTTGTTATAGTCCGTGGAGACGCATTCCATCTACTTTGGTATGGAATGCCAACGGTGAGCCAGGACTTCCTGTCCAACATCAGTACCTGACCTCAAAGACACGCTTCAAAATGTTGTACAATATCTCCCCAGAAGACCACCAGTTGCCCCACCTAACCCTTACCCTGCCCCGGCCTTAACTCCGGCAGGTCAGCGGTGTGACGCACAGTACAGAAGTCAGCAGTACAGAGGTCAGTAATGTAACGCGCAGCGCAGAGGTCAGCGTGACGCGCAGCGCGGAGGTCAGCGTGACGCGCAGCGCGGAGGTCAGCGTGACGCACAGCACAGAGGTCAGTGTGACGCACAGAAAGGGGACACCTCGATGACATTCCACTTGCCCCCCACGCAATTTTCACTCGCCAATTGCGAGGGGGGCAAGCGGAAATTTTGAGGCCTGCGGCGTACATTACTATTCATTTTATTATAAGACTGATATATATTCTTTTATCTTCTCAGATCAGGAAATCGCAGTGGCAATTGTTCCCCCTCCCCGGATTCCTATTCCTTATACTGCTACCCTTGTACCTGGGGGGACTGCAAGGCGGGAGATGCATCCACCCGGCAGATGTCTAACAGCATGGCCTCCACTGCCCAACCCACGCAGACGTCCTGGTCGGATTCTTGGGCATACGCGGACACCGGTCCAAGTGTGGCCAGCGGCCGCTCTACCCCCGTGCTGAGCACAGACAACGCCATTAAGACTTACTACAGCTGCCCCAGGTTGAAGCCCCCACAAACCCCAAAACGGTTCGCCCCTTTCGGAGCCTTAAACCCTTTCGCCAACCCAGCCTTTGCCTCTCCTCCTTCGTCCTCCGGGGACTGGTTGGATCCTGCGGAGCGCGCCAAATCCTCCTCGTCCTCCGTCTCAGACGTCCTGGATCCCTTCGACGTCGGTAATAGTCAAAGCACATCCCCGGACTCCTCTTCCATCGGGTCGGAGCTGCGATTTGTGCCCGAAGCCGTATTTAAAAGCGGGGGAGCGGGGACTTGCCCTGCTCCGCCGCCCCGGCCGGCAAAAGGGTTAGAGACTGAGAACATTGTAATTAGGAGCGCAGCCCCAATGTCGCCCACCATTGTAAGAGGAGCAGAGGGCGGGATCACAAGAGTTTATCTAACTCAAGGCGTCATCGAGGTGCCGCCAATCTCGTCCAGGAGCAGCACGGAGGCATCTTCCTCTCACACTCCTGGCGCCCCCAGAGCTCCCGGGGACCCCGCAGCTTGGCACCCGCCCCCCGATCTATCGGCTCTGTCGGTGGAGGAGGTCTCCAGGTGCCTCAGGTTCATCGGGCTGTCCGAAGACGTGGTGACGTTCTTCGTGAGGGAGCGGATAGACGGCAGCATCTTCGTCCAGCTGACGGAGGAGATCCTTTTGGACGACTTCAAGTTGACTAAACTTCAGGTGAAGAAGATCATGCAGTTCATCAAAGGATGGAGGCCTAAGATATAGAGGGCAGCGTGGCCCTTTGGACACCGGGCCTAACTTTTTAGCATATAAACAGATGACCGGGAGAGACGTAGAGAACGTTGCAGGGGCGCAGACCGCGGGGGAGTATTTTTATCGACAGACTTGGTGAATTTTCACATTTTTTCCCCCATATTTTGTGGACAATTCGTTTATAACTAATAGATCCTCACAAATTGGTATACATAGCACAATTTGCACAAAATGTAACACGACCCTGATGGCGAAGACTGCTGAAAGTTTGATATTGGAGCTGTGTATTAAATATTACAAGTGGCACAACTAGCGCAAATGTACTGTGTTTTGAAGACGATGATGATGTTGCATGAGATGATTTGGTTCCTCTTTTTCGGTCAATATTCCACCGTACACGACACGTGAGATTCGTCCCGTTCCGAAATTCGGACGGAAATTCGTAGATTCGGAGGATCCGAATTTCCAAAATGTAACGTACCCGAAATCATCCGAATCCGAAATTTCGGATTTGGAACGAATTTCGTCCAAATCCTGTGCGTGCGCTGTTAACATTTAAACGAATAAAAACAAATTAAAGGAGAACTATGGGGTCAGGGCTTGTCCCCATAGTTCTCCTTAGGGTAAACGACGAATGTGCCGATTCTGCTAACCCCACCTCGAGTTGAATTTTCGGGAATTCGTCCAAATTCCGAATCCGATTCCCGAAACGAAAAACACAGAGGATCCGAAATAAACGAAATCCGAAAGGAAACTGATTTTTAGCCGCTGCACATGTCTACAAACAACACACTTGGAGGGCAGACATGGTGTGGAAGGGTCAATAAAAGTAAATCACCGGCACACACTTGAAGGGTTTTTTAAGTGTTGATGTTTATTCAATACCCGATGTCATACGGTGCTAACGTTTCGGGGTCCGCGCAGGGATCCTTCATCAGAGCGACAGTGACGCGCTGCGTAGGTGAACATGCCGGTATCAATACGCATCAATCCAGGTGCAAACAGACAGCCCGTGACGTTTGGGGGTCGGCCTGCACCTGGATTTTAATAAACTGGGGCTGCGGAAATTAACAATTCATTTCTCGATTAATCGTTAAACTTTTTGATCGATTAAAATTATTTTGATCAAAAATTGAAACACTCACCTCTCCGCCGGCTTTCGGGAGTCCCGTCGGTGACGTCACGGACATCGACGTCACCGGACTCCTCCCCCCTTCCCCCAAGTGGCTCCGTCAGCTAACGAAGGGAAGG